CCCACCTCTGCCCCAGCTTCCCTGGACCCAGCCCCGCCTCCACTCCTGCCCCACCGCCCTGACTGCTGCCCCGCCCCCAGATGTACTTCAACTCTGTCATCTCCGACACGACCAAGCTGCTCAAGCCCAGCCTGGTGTTCGCTTTCGCCATCGCAGCGGGTGTCTGCGGTCTCACCCAGATCACACAGTATCGAAGCCACCCCGTGGACGTGTATGCGGGCTTCCTCATCGGTGCTGGCATCGCCGCCTACCTGGTGAGAGTCCGACCAGGGAGGCTGGCAGCCATTGGGCAGGTCTGAGAGGGGAGGTCTGAAGGAGCAGGCTAGCCCCCAAGGGGGAGGTCAGAGGAGGGGAGGAACAGGTGCCAAGGCCTAGCTCTGTTCTGGGGAGACTGATAAGACCTTTGCCTCCCTCCAAAACCCCCAAGTCTTTGCCCTGTGGGGACCCTGACGTGGCCTCACAGCCATCCTGAATCTCACCCCCAGGCCTGCCATGCAGTTGGCAACTTCCAGGCCCCACCCACAGAGAAGCCCACAGCCCCAACACCTGCCAAAGACGCACTGCGGGTGCTGACCCAGCGGGGCCACGACTCGGTGTACCAGCAGAACAAGTCTGTGAGCACTGACGAGTTGGGCCCTCCAGGGCGGCTGGAGAGTGTGCCTGGGCCCGTGGCCCGAGAGAAGACCTCACTGGGCAGCCTGAAGCGGGCCAGCGTGGACGTGGACCTGCTGGCCCCACGCAGCCCCATGGGCAAGGAGAACATGGTGACTTTCAGCCACACACTGCCCCGCGTCAGCACGCCCTCACTTGATGACCCTGCCCGCCGCCACATGACCATCCACGTGCCACTTGACGCCTCGCGCTCTAAACAGCTCATTAGCGAGTGGAAACAGAAGTCACTGGAAGGCCGTGGCCTGGGGCTGCCTGATGAGGCCAGCCTGGGGCATATGCTGGTCCCCGCAGAGCCCATGGCAGAGGAGGAAGAAGAGGAGGAGGAGGAGGAGGAGGAGGGAGAGGAAGAGGGCCCAGCTCCACCCTCACTCTACCCCACAGTCCAGGCGCGGCCAGGCCTCGGGCCTCGGGTCATTCTCCCCCCGAGGGCCGGGCCACAGCCACTGGTGCACATCCCCGAGGAGGGGGCACAGGCAGCAGCAGGCCTGTCACCTAAGGGCAGCGTGGCTGTGCGGGCCAAGTGGCTCATGATGGCTGAGAAGAGCGGGGCCCCTGTGGCCACAGCCTCGACCCAGCCCCGCATGGCCAACCCGCCCCGACTGCTGCAGGTGATTGCGATGTCCAAGGCACCTGGTGGATCTGGCCCCAAGGCGGCTGAGACAGCCTTGTCCTCCAGCTCCAGCTCCGACTCCTCACAGTACAGGTCGCCATCAGACCGTGACTCAGCAAGCATTGTCACCATTGACGCACACGCGCCTCACCACCCCGTGGTCCACCTGTCTGCTGGTAATGGGCCCTGGGAGTGGAAGGCTGCTGGCAGTGGGACCAAGGGGCTGGAGGGCGAGGGCACTTATGAGCTAGGGGACCTGGCTCATGGCTTTCGGGGTGGGCCCAAGCCACTGGGTGTGTCTCCTGGCTCATCTGTCAGTGATGTGGACCAGGAGGAGCCAAGGTTTGGTGGTGTGGCCACAGTCAACCTGGCCACAGGGGAGGGGCTGCCCCCACTGGGCACGGCCGACAGTACTCTCGGGCCAGCCAGCCGGGAATCAACGCTGAGGCGCAAAGCGGTTGGCCTGGCACTGGGTGAGCGAGATTCCACCTCTTGTGAGTCAGAGGCTGAAAGCTACTACCATAAGATGCAGGCAGCCCGCAGGTTCAAGGACTGAGTGCCCAGGGACCGGCAGGCTGGGGTGAGGGTGGGGGTGCAACAGCATGGGGATACTGGGGAAAGAGGAGTAGAGGCATTTTGCAATCAGACAATAAAAGGTTGAATCGGAGTCCTGGCTGCAGTCATCCTGGTCTGAGGTTCCCCCACATAGGCAGCCCTGGCCATGCACACAGGCCCCAGGGTCCTGGGCTGGCTGTAGGCTCTCAGGGGCCATGTGACCAGGGCCCAGAGCACAAAGGACAGGGCACTAGGAGCAAGGCATTGAGTTCTGTCCAGTGCCCAAAGACTGCAGCAGGGTTCTAACTGCAACACGGAAAAGGTTTTAGTGTGGTTTGCAGCATCTGGGGAGTTGCCCCTTTTCAGATTCATGCTTACTTCCCAGGGAAGGCCGCCCGCACTGGGACAGGACAGGTGGGACTCCCAAGCAGGGCTCACTGGCCCATAAAACTTCCCCCTGAAATCCTAACGTCACTAGGGGGGCAAACAAATGTCTGAATTCACAAAGAAAACAGCAGTGAAGACAAGCAAGCCCAATAAAGAGGGAAATGAGTGCAGGATACAGAAGAGTTTATTCAAAGTCCAGTACAGACTAGCCAAACTGCCTTCTACAATGTGAACAGAAAGCCTGCGGAAAAGGCAAGAGTTGTTATAAAATTGCTTTAATTCAGTTTTCTCAACATTACAAGCCGTAAGGCAGGCAGTGGAATGTGCCACGCTCCACGTTACAATACTGAGCCTGTAATTGCTGGTATCAAAATATACATCTGTGTCACCATAAAAAACTGCATTTGCTGCCCCTCATGTCTTACAACAGGTATAAAAAATTATAAATATTTAATCCCTCGTCCCCACCCCAACATGAACACTTGGGGTCCAGGCCCCAGGAAGAGGGGCCAGCCAGCACAAGGTCTGTGCACAGGGAAGCCCCTTGGACCCATGAGTGTAGGACTATACAAGGTAAAGGAGACAGTTAAGACTCGAGGGCTATTGTCCCACCTTAATGGGTCCCAGCGTTAGAGGCAGACAAAAAAAACAAAAAACTTTGGTCCATGATTTGCAGGAAAAAAGAAACCCTGAAAGTTTAAGAGAGCCCTTGTCCTCCCAGACAGAGAACAGGCTATGTGTAAGGCATCTGAAGGTCTCAGGCCTGGGGCTTTCTAGGAAGAACCCAGGCTCCGCAGTGGCCCCACCACTGCGTCTGCCCTGGAAACTAGATCCTGCCCTGCAACTTAATTACAAGGAATAAAATAAAAAGTACAGTATACAAGGTCATATAAGGAAGAAATTTAGATTACACTCATACCATTTTTATCATCTTGCTATATAAAAGGTTACTTAAAACTATTTCTTTTGCATATAAATGAAGATTAGAATATTTGGTCAACTGGAAATATTGCTAGGCACAGATGTCTGCAACTGCATAAAAGCACAATACAAAGACTTATGATAAAACAAAGCTCCAAGCTGAAGAAGTGCCAGGGATGCACCCTAGAGGGTCTTGGCCCAGGAGGGGCACCTCAAGCCAGGGGCAGGGAGAGGGGAGAATCAAGACACTTGATTAAATGGAGGATTAGGATGTCCGCAGAGCCTGCAGCTGGCAGCCTCCTGCCATGCCAGGCACATGATCCCCGTGGGGAAGCAGTCCCCTGTCCCCAAACCCCTATGCATTTGCTACTGCAAAAAAAGGCCCTGCCAGAGCAGTGGGTTTTAAGGCACAAGAAAGCTGAGTGGAGGCTTGGGAACACCCACCCTGCAGAAGGGGTAGGCATATCGTCCACGGGTCACCAAGAGCCTGAGGCTGGCACCCTATCTCCCAAAGGTGAGCAAGGTGAATTAGATTTAATTTTTTTAAAAACAGGTAAACTGATTTTCTCTTTAAAAAAATAAAATCTCTGGTCTTTTTAAGGTCACTTCAGCTGCTTTTTAAAGTGGCTATTTTCTGGAATGATGGAAGTTGTTGCCGGGATTACCCGGCAGGCTGGTCCTTGGTGGGGAGTCTAGATAGTGGACTTGGAGAAGGACACCCGCAGGTGGTGGTTCTCTCCCAGGTCGTGGTTGTGCAGGTCAATGAGCGCCTGGATGGCCTCCTCCACGGAACCCATCTGAATCAGCGCCATCTTGCGATCCTTCCTGCAGGACAAGGGGTATAGAGACAGCATGAGGTGGAGGGGGGAGGAGAGTAAGGGGGGAGGGAGGGCAGGTGGGGAGAGTGTTTCATGCTCACTGGAAGAACTTGAACCCTTTGACAATTCCGCCGTTGCTGGAGAAGAGTATCTTGAGGTCGTCCTCAGATATGGAGGGCCTGTCGGGAGAGGGAAGACCTGAGCAGACCATCTGGCTACTCGCTTGAGGACAGTAATTCTGAGGTGAGGGAGGGGCCTGGGGGCTGTTCACTGTTTTAGGCACCCATAGACACATGCAGAACAACCATATCTTAAAGGTCTATCAAGAGTCACAAAAAATGCCACCAAACAGGTTTGCAAACAGTGCCACCCCCTCCTTCCTTGTTTGATCTGGGAGTGTTTCAGGAAGGACAGAGGCAGCTTACAGCAGGGCCACCTGTCAAAAGCCTGGTGGTTCAGGGAGGCCCTCCTCCCCCATTGCTCCCCACCACGTGCCACCTACGGGATGTTGGAAAGGTGCAGGGTGGCCGAGGGTGGGAAGATGTTCTGGAAGTTCTTAGAGCCAGGCTTCTTGAAGCGGTGCAGGGGTGAGTTCCCGTAGTCTTTGGTGAGGCCCTGGTCCTCCTGGCCCTCCCGGGGCAGCTGTACATTTTGGTGCTTGGAGAGGGTGATGCGCACAGGCTTTCCATGCAGCTTATGTCCGTTAAGGTGGCTCATGGCTAGAAAGGTAGGACCCATATGACCTAGAGGCCCCAGGCACAGGTCTGGTTCCTCACCCCATCTCTAGCCATCCCCACTTACCCAGCTGGGCCTGGCTCCCATCTGCCATCTGTACCAAGGCATTCTCCTTCTTATTGAACAAAATCTTCACCCGTTGCACATCGCCATACACGCCTTCAAAAGTTTGGGGACAGAGCTCTGAGCCTAGGATCTGACGCCGCCTCCCACACCAGCCCCCATGACCCGCACACCCTCACAGGACTGGCTCTTCCTGAAGGTTTGCTATTCTGCCTCTGGGAACCTGCGTCTAGTCACAGGGACGTTACCAGGAGGACTCCCTTCAGCAAAGATGTCATAAAATCCAGGAAAGGTCAATTGCCAAAGAGCCATCACTTTACATGCTACCAACACGCTTAACTCTGCGAGAGCATGCAGGGCAATAAACCATGCGTGTCTAAAAAAATCCAAATAAATACACAAACCGAAGGCAAACCAAGTAACGAGGCAGAACTGCAAACTCATAGTACATCTTAGGGCATAAAAATAACCTCAATTAAATGAAAACAAGATAATAAAAGTGTGAATGATAACATACCGAAAAGAATAAAGAGGCTTTGGGGTGTGACTCTCTTTAGAGGACAGCAGAGCAAGGCAGCGGAGGGACAGGGAAAGGGAGAGGTCAAGGGGCGAGTTGCCATCGTCCACCACGAGGAGGCAGCCCCGCAGGCGTGCAGGTTGATGGATGATGAAGTTGTCAGGATGTTAATATTCAAGGGCAGGTTGGTTTCCGGAGAGCAGGGTTTGAGGGGGAATTTTGTTTTTATTTATTTATGGTTTTGTTTTGTTTCAAGCAACAACAGGAAGCAGAAGTACCGTGCAGTCAGTTGGCAAAGAAATTCCGGATCAGAAAAAAAAATTGGGAAAGGGGAAGGGGAGAAAAGAAAAAAAGTAGCAAAAAACACAGGTCAGTAAATACATAAGAAAATCCGCAGTGTTCCATCAGTCAGATCTACACACATTCCTAGTCACAGGTCCACCTCGTGGAGCAGGCAGGAAAGCCCGTCCGCACAGTGAGCAGGAGACGCTGCTGCCCCTCGGCCTTGCCCTGCTCCTGCCAAGCCCCTTGCTGGGCTCAGCTCCCCCGGAACTGTCTCCTGCTGACTGCTGCGGCAGAGTGTAAACGCTCACACAAGCACGAGGGGTGGAGTCTGTTAGTGAGGCTTCTAGAGCATCTAATAACTCAGTCAGACAAGGCACCGGCCGCCCCAGGCCAAGAGATGATAGGAGTGGTCAGACAGATGAGAAAACAGTCTGAAACGCTAATTGAACATTAATCCCATCTCTCGAGAGTTAAATATTTTGAGCCTTGATCTCACCCATGCTCTCTGAGCCAAACTTGGCCTTGAGACAAGTGTAGGTTGGCTATAGTAGGACTATGACTCAAAGTTGTGGGGGCAGCGCAGACCATGGCCCTCCTGAGCAGAGGTGCCCAGAGGCCTCCTCAAACAGAGATGTTTTTAGCTCGAAATTTTTATTGCTTTCATGAAAGTATCAAAAAATATTTTAACTCTAAACACTATGAAATTGGAAATGTAAACTAGGATGTTCAGGGACAAAGCTTCCAGCACAGTGGGAAGGGAGGGGAGGATGCGAGCACAGAGTGGAACTGCATAAGGACTGGCCTGCGGATTACAGGAGCGTGGCCTGCTGATAGTTTGCACTAAGACCTAGATGCACAACTCCCCTGCCTGAGCCTCCAGGAAAAACAGCCTCAAAGAGCCACCTACCTCAGGGTTGAGGTTGCTGACCAGCAGCACAGAATTTCCAGCCCCTCCTAGGCCTGGGATGGCGATCCGGCCAGCTGCCGCCGCCGCTGCCGCTGCTGATGGGATGGCCAGAGGGGCCAGGGCCCCGTGCACATTGGGAACTGAGAGGCCTGCAGGAAGAGGCAGGAAGGAGATGAGCAGTACAGCCTGCTTTCCACCAAAAGGGGAGCGAAGTCCTGCCCATCCTCATGCAAAAGGAGACACACAGAAGGTGTCTGCACTCGGCCTATCCTGGCCATATGGCCCCGCTGGCTCCTTCCTCCTCCTCACAGCAGATTGTACTGGGTTTGGACCAGGCTACATGCGCCCATACAGCACAAAAGCTCCAGCTCCATGAATGCAGAATCGAGCCTCGGTCTCGTGTGCATGCAGGTACCCATCACCATGCAGATGGCACACTGGGCAGGACACAGCAGGCTCATGACTGTCACATGGTAGTCGTTACATTGTGGGGCGCCCAGCCCTCAGGAGGGACGCTCAGGTGTGCCCACCCAGCTCATGCTGATCTTACCAGGACACTTAATTCACCTACTAGGGACACAGCCCTCCAACCACTGTGTGTACACGTCCTTGCCCGGGAGGTGCTTGAAGGAATCAGACCAGAGACTGTGGGGTTAGAGTATTCTCTGCGTGGCCCTGTCCTAAGACTACCCTGTCCAGGCTCCTCAGGGAACCCAGAAGCCCGCGCCCAGGAAGATGGGCTCCCCCCGTGACTGCGCCCGTCAGCTCGCATGTCGGCAGAGCTACTGAAAGGTGTGTGGGCATGCACAGTCAGTTATGGGGACCAAGACCAAGTGTTTGAGTACCTGCAGCTTGAGGAATGGCAAAGGTGGGAGGGAAACCAGCTCCTGCATATGGAGAGGCTGACATTATACCAGGTGCACCTAGAAACAAATGAGACACTAATCATTGCACCCACAACCTCCGCCACCAGAGCCGAGTGAGCCAAGCCGGCGCACCCCACACCCAGCAGGCAGGTCCAATGTCCACCCAAGCTGGGTGCTATGGCCATGGAAGGAGTGATGGGCGCCAACCTCCCTGGGCGCAGGGCGGGCATCCTGGGACTCCTGGGGCCTGGTCACTTAAGACTGAGCTGCGCGTCCTTGACTATGGCACACGGCAGTAGCAGGCACCTTCCCAGGAATCTTACCAAAGGCTGCAGCCATGGTCTGGTCCAGTGAGGGTTGGCTGTCACCAGAGGGCAGGTCAGGACGGGTATAGTCTCGGCTCTTGTCATTGTTGTACTTGACGTTGAGGCTGGTGAGCTTAGAAAAGTCGATGCGGAGTGTACAGCAAGCGTTATAGATGTTCTGTCCATCCAGCGACTGCCGGGGAGGAGGAGAAAGTTGTAAGTGGCTGGGGCCCTGGGGCTGAAGAAGGCAGGCAGGCGTCCCTGGGTACCCACTCACCAGCTTAGCATGCTGGGCGCTCACGGGTTCGGCATACTGCAGCAGTGCCTGGAACTGTTTGTTCTTGGTGAAAGTGATAATCTTCAGA